AACCATTGAACTTTAATATTTCGAATGATTCCATTTTATTTCACTGTGTTTTATTTCCCGTGTTCCTTATTGTAGGCTACACAGTCTGCAAACTTAACCCCTGTACCCCCAAATATATCGAGCGCACTCCCAAACGTCAGGTCTACTTTGCCACGCGACAGCTTGTGTACCAGGTGCAAGTCATCGAGTGTTCTACCCCCTCCCGCATACGTACAGGGGAGATCCGTCCACTCTCCTAATCTCTCAACTAATTCCTCATCAATACCTTTACATAGCCCTGAGCATAGAATGTTTGAAAACAGTTCAAATTAGAATACATATTCTATATATAAATATATATTTATATTTATATATTTATAGTTCCAATTATGTCACTGCTACAGAAATCTCGCACATTGGTATACATCCATAAACGAATTGCTATCTCCGTAGACATCTCAGAAAAAACAAGAACTTGTACTTCAAGTCACAAGTTCCTAACTCTTGCATGTATTTCCCTTAAATATGCACATAACCGTAATGAAAATGTTCCCTCACAAACATACAAAAACGAATAGGGTTTAGCTAAACCTTAACAGACTCAATCATCTATATATAAATCGTGCATAGATGCTTAGTGCCAGTACAACAGATGCAGCAATAGCGCAGTATCAGCACTGGCTCTTCCCAGTTGAACAGGAACTCTTTCCTATCCAATAGACATACAACCACACCTTCAACGTCGGCCGCGTGGATAAGAAACTCGCAGCAATATTCCGATAGTGTCCGCAAAGTCTCGGCATTCAGTTCCATCGATGTGATTGTTTGCCATTTGTTGGTGGCCACAAACCACTGGTTACCCCTCCTGCGGCAGCTGCAGATGGTGGCAAGTATTGGGTGCACAAATGAGGCCTGGACGGGGTGTCGTGGGGGGGTCTATTCTATTCAATATGTACTTTTGCGCACAAGTGCTCTGACTGAATTTGGCCCAGTAAATTTTTTTTGCAGTCTACTTCATCCGGGCACGTACTTGCGTTGTTGGTACAGATTTAAACCAGGTCGTATAAGTTAGTGCCTATAGTGCCTATGCGGTTGTATACAGTGATGGGAACACGTTCAAGTATGCGTCGATATACTTGCATTATTGGGACAGATCTGAACAATGTCGTTTAAGTTAGTTTCTATAGTGCCTATACGGTTGTATACGGTGGTGGGAACACGTTCAAGTATGTATCGATATGCTTGCGTTATTGGGACAGAATTGAACCATGTCGTTTAAGTTAGTGCCTATAGTGCCTATCCGGTTGTATACAGTGGTGGGAACACGTGCTAGTTGGCATGTTTCAGACTATTGAATTCATGAATGCCATGAAGCATGACATGACAATCTGCGTCACGGTGTGTGAGTATACAGGGTATCCACTGGTTTCGGCCCGCATGATTATTGGAACTTAATCAAACCTTGAAGCAACCCAAAGCCACACCACACGCACCTCAAATCCAACACTAAACTGTCCGTGCCAATTAGCTTTGATATCTCCTGCAGCCGGCTCATGCTGAACTCGCCATCCGGGAAGAGCCAACTCGTGATAATCAGCTGCAAGTGAGCGATAGAGTTCAATGAAAGTGAGGTGCGCTTTTAGCCGTAGGTTTCCAGACTCGACGTCGACAGGTGGGAAGGGATTACTCGATTAATATGCGCAAAATATCGGATGGAGCCAAACACGTGTCATGTACCTTGGCAGATATAACTGTTCGGTACCTGCATTGAGTCGTTCCTATGCCGTGAGATACACTATGAACAGAAGCGAACGGCTTGCCCTACTACCTCAGTAGGCGCAGAGATTAAATGGCTACGCCCATCTCTATTAATACTGGCATTGCATCGAGCCACTTCTGTTCTTTGCGATACAATACAAACAGAGATAAGCGGCTTGCCCTACTACCTTAATAGACACAGGGATCAAATGGCTATGCATATCTCCACAAAAGACTGGCACGCATACCTTCTCGGCGCCAGCGTCCAGCCATTTTTGTGCGTTTTGTGCGTTAATCCCTCCACCCACCTGTAGGCCATTGGGCCAGGCCTGTATCGAGAAGTAGGGGTGAGAAGCAAATAATTAAGACGTCATATCGCAAAAAAAAAGAAGTAAAGATGTCGTATAAGAATCAACAAGCGGAATTATTCGACATCTTGTATCGAGAATTAGGGTTGAAAGGCAAATAATTAGGACGTCATATCGCAAATAAAAGAAGTAAAGATGTCATATAAAATCTACAAGCGCGAGAATTAGGGGTGAAAGGCAGATGATTAGAACTTCATATCGCAAGAAATAGAAGTAAAGATGTTATTAAGAATCTATAAGCGGAATTATTCGACATCTGGGTTAGAAATTTAAAGATCTGTGCGGCAAGGTATGGGATGGGCTGCACAGTGCCGGGAAAGCACGCGATTTGTGAGTGCGGCGGAGGACATAATCGGATGATGGGTGCATACCAGTAGCGCTATGAATACACACGTGTTATTATCCGGCCCTTCTCTTGCATACCATCCAAGAAACAGTTCCCGCCCTGATTTATACCCAAAGATTCCCCCCCTCCACAACTCTCAGCACACAAGTTCTCTAATTACACCCACCCTCGTCTATATCACTGGACTACCGAGGATTCAGTTCGACAGACTCAGAATAGAAACCCCCTCAAGTTTCCCAACACTTAACATACACTTTGCTCGATTTATACCTACCTTCAGAGCTTCGCGTGCCGCATCTTCATTGCCAGGCCCCAGCATAATAACATGGGCACCGGTAAGAGCGTCCGCTTTGTACAGTGACGCGTAGTATGCAGGTCCCTCACTACGTTTATGAATGTAAGATATATACGGCATGATTATACTATGATTTACATACTGTATATAACATCACAGTAGCTAATTAGACTGATATAGCTAAATAGTCTTTCGAGACTGTAATTCACATATCACATGTAACATCGCAGTAGCTAATTAGACTGCTATAGCTATAGAGTCTTTTGAGACTGTGATTTACATATTATATGTAAGTTCACAGTTGTTAATTAGGCTGCGATAGCTATATTGACATCGTCCACAATGCCCAACGACGCTTTGTGTGCATGCACCTCAATTTGGTGTGTGCAAAATAAATATATCCGTTCAACGTAGAGCGTGTACAAGTTGCCCCAAGAGTTCTGTGAACTATACAACCTCTACGACAGGCGTGTCGATTCTTTTCTGAAAAGCGTTGAAATCATCCGCTTTGTACAGAGCGACACATAATATGCTGGCCTTCTACTATAGGTGGTGTGCCGTTGTAAGCAAGGGAGGTAGAATACGAGCACACATGCACCAACACCTGAAGATCCAGCAAGTCTGAAACAAAATTGTGCATACAGGTGAAAATGTAGATCGGAAAGCTGCCGAGACTATCTGTATTGCTTTATCATCGCGTGATAGGCAAGCCCCTCACCATCATGCCATGTTATCTCAAAGCGTATCAATATACATCTATAGCAAACCTAGTTTAAATATTAAATCATGCGTGCTGGCAGATACGAACGCATGCTTAGGCTTAGGACACTAAACTGTCAATGGGCGTACCTTGCGACGAAGTTAGTGGCTAGAGTGTTGTCGTTGGTTGTTAAAGTGCCGCCCACGATCTGTTTAGAGAGTGTCAGGAATGAGTTGGTAACATAAAAACGCTATCAGAAAGGCTTATCATTTGTACATGTGAATGCGCACATCCAGCTCAGTATGACAAACGAATGGATGGATGTGTTTGTGCATCTAACATATAGTTGTGAAGAATTGACAGGTCGGATGTTACATAGTTTCAAGCACATTGTTTGGCTCATATTCCTTACCGGGTGAAAACAACCCAGAAGTGAATTCTATATGAAAGTAGTGCATGCCACCTATACTTTAGTACCAACAACGGGTTTGCATTTGATTGCAATGGAAGTAAAACATCCTGAGCATCAATAGAAATAGAATACGATTTGTATTTGCCTGACACGTCTGTAGGGATACAGTCACCGAAAACTTGTGTGTAATTGAATTACGTAACAAAGTGCAGAAAGTAGTATATTAGCAAATGTAAGGGTATTTGTATATGCAGACGTGTGCATGTAAACAGGTAAATAGGATATTGGAATATAGAGTTACGTTCATAGAAAAACAAATATCCAGAAATTTTCGATACGCTATTTGAATTCTCACAAAGATATCGGCATGGTCATTCTGACCATAATAGAGGCGATTCCGGGCACCAAAATGAATTCACCACTATCCATACGTATAAAAATATATTTTGTATGCTCCAATTTACAAATGAAATATGTGTGTACGAACACTCAAGTACATAAAACTATATATATATATATATATATATATATATATATATATATATATATATATATATATTATATATATATATAATATAGTACTATACTAATACTACTAATATA